TGCTTATCGGTGACTAGATTCAAGAGGTGATTTCTCAAGTTCCAATGAGAAATTGTGACTGGTGGTACAGACCAAGTCGGAGGTGAGGACAAATTCTCAACAATGACATGGGTGACGGTCGTGCTATGTCGTGAACTGACAGAAGTTGGAAATATGAACCATTAGATTCCCGCCCAACGGGCCAATGGTAACGTGCTGGTCGTGGAACCTGGAGGTCGTGGGTTGAATCCTTGATGCAGTGGGATCATGTGTGTACGCTGCTGAGGAGTCGCGTACTAGAACGAAACGGCCGTCGAGTACTCTCAGGTTCTCGGTATCCCTCCATGAAGAATATCAACTTGCTTTTTTTCTTGATTAATGAAGCTTCGTTTAAGTTTCAGAAGTACTCATAGAATATTACTTCAGGGATTTTCTTAATCTTACGTTTGTAAGTTACTTGCGTAATAACAATCTGATTCATTAATATGCTGAATTATCAGATGACTTACTGCGTTACACTTAAGGATGAAGTAAACTAGTTTTTTATGTATATAAATGTGTATCTGTATGGTGGTATACAAACATTTTATTTCTCATTCCTCTATTCCATCATTTATTTTGTTTGATTTACTGAACAAGTAAACATTATAATAATGAAGGTATCATCCTTATATTTTGTGCTTGACTACAGTGGGTTTCTGAAGTGACTGAATGAATCATAATAAATACGTAAAACATATTTCCCGCCATAACACACTTGGATTGGATAGGAATAGTCACTGTTCTCCTTCAGAATCTTATACTCCATTAAGCAGCGAAATCTTGTACATTTGCTGTCGACGAAAATATATTATTTATCTACAGTTTTTTTCATGAAACTAAAAGACTTCTAGGTCTGAAGTTGAACAGTTTATTTTGATTGGTCAGCTGTAGGACTGACTGCCCGATAGGGTTTTTCCTGACCACACAGTAACGGAAAAGAAGGTAGAGATTCGAAACGTCTACGTCAGAGACTGATGACTTAAAATGTTGATTTCTAGTTAGGTCACTCCCTATCAGTTTCATTACATACCAACTCCAACCTGCTAATCATGGCGACCGTGAGAGTACTGGATTGTTGTTTCGTCCTACATTAGGACTTATCAGCATTAAGCATCTACCATCCCATAAGGGACCAAGCCAAGAATGTCAATAGTAATAATCAATTTATTCCAAACACTATGGTTAGGAGAGTGTGGGATTTTCAGCTAATTGACTCTTTGTACATTATTTCCAAAGGAAATAGTCATGGCATCTCAGTAATGTTGGTAATATCTGTACCGGAAGCGATAATGTGCAACGACAAGCTGTTATTGGGCTACCGTCTAATATGTGAGTATAATGTTACAAGAGGGGGGAAGAAAGTATGCACTGGTTTGGTAATAGTGGTTCATTCATTTGACTTTCAAGTCTGTCATGTAACAAGATGTTTTCGTCAACCTTGGCTACAGACTGAAAAATGATTGATTGAAAGTGTTCTAAGAATGCTTTTTAGTATGTACTACAAATTATTGATATGTTCTACAGACATTCATCAACAGCTACCACCTACGCCCACTCCATACTCACACTGAAGATCAGACAAATGGTCACAAAGAATAGGCAACAAGAAACTCAGACTGGCAATGAATCAACCAACAACTCATCACCCAACAAATATGCAGAAGAGAGTGGAGATGGACTGGATCGGATTGGATTAGAGATACACTGAGAAAACTATTCGGAGACACCACATGCCAGGCCAGCTTCTCGAGTGGAATCCAAAGGGGAAAGGACGAGTTGGGCGTCCCAGCTGAGGTTGACATGGAGTAGATGGTGTGAAGAGTAAATGAAAGCTTGTGAGCAGGTATGGAGTCAGGTTGGAAAGACTGTAGAGAACAGGGTCCAATGGAGATGTGCTACTGACTCCGTATGTTCCACTAGGAATCCAAGGGAAAAATAATGATCATAATGATCTATGGTTAAAAACAAGTTCAAGGATAGCAGTCCGAGGTAATATATTTAGTAGCTAAAAATTTAAGCGAGTCACCAATATCTCGAAGTAAGTACACCAAGGTTCAGCCAATGAGCTGAAATTCAGCGCTACTCGTTTGCCTACTTTGCTTCATATTGTATAACTATCAGACAGTGCCATCGATGAGTATTTGTTCTCAACAGCTTTCTATCTGAAGGTGGACAGTTCATGTTGAAGACTACTAGGGAATCAATCAGTACTTATAGAGTATTAGGGAACTCACTATATTTTGCTTACAATTTACTTCATTTAAGGTTGACTATGGCAACGTTTGATGTTAGTCATTGACTTGTGTGACCAACCAATTTGAGCTTGAAGTAGAATTTTCAACGATTCATTGGATGATATATACACTGTTTTACGAATTGAGGTTTGTGGGAAGATGTGAAACCTAGGATTGTGATCCCGGTGACTAGATCGTAACTTGCTTATTGCAGGAACTAACTGTAATGATTTCAATCTTTCAAAAGGCAGTAGATACGTGTTGTTGATCAAACAGCTATCCATTGCTTACAGCTTTCAATGATTCCGCAGTTGAAGTTGACATTCGCTGACAATCTTAAATGATGTTATTTGTCAAGTTTAATAAAAATGTCTAAAAACGGAAGTTAATCTTTATCTTCAGTAGGTTAGAATATGAACTTTAATAGAAATTTGTCAACTGGAGTTAGAATTGTGTATAGACCAGGAAATCAATTAAAGCTGTTCTGGTGTAAATATATTTTGGTAAATGTTGCAGAGACTTAAAAATGCTTAAAACGATTAAAAAAAACCTTTCGTCCTCTACAGTTTTGTTTGTTTTTCGTAAGATATTACTAACTCAAGTTTTATTGAGTACAAAAGGTTCAATTTACGTTTGATAACTTATAGTATCTGTGAAATATTCTATTGTTGGTTTAAAGCCTAGTGTACTCATTTGAAATATTTTTAATATTCTCTTATATGTCTGGGAAGCGCTACGATTAAAAAGGATGGTTATAGTTGTCGCATCGACGTTGTCTTCTTAGCATACACCGTATATCATGTATGTGAAACATGTTACATATGTCTATTTAACATATGCCGTGTTGTACAATGATAGTTGAAATACTTAAGGACTTGATAAAAGTAAAAAGTGGTTAGACTATAACATGACATCAGTCTATGAAGTGTCTGACCATTGGTCTAAACTGTATAAGAAATTGTAGACTTCTTGGTTGTGTTTCATTTGATAATTTAAATGTGATTCTGTCTTATTGACAAAGATATCATCTTTGAAGTCTTAATAATATTCATTCATCTGCATTAAACTATTCTATTTCATTTTATACAATTTCTTCTACATTATATGATTCACTTTTTGTCCCTTTGTTTTTTTCTTGCATTACTGATGGAAAATGTGTAAATATGAATTGATATACTCTTGTGCTAGATTTTAAGTTGATCTGTATTCCTGTCAGTTAACAATAACCTTAGTAAAGATGTATTAGAGTCTTAACTATTCAGTTTTGCTCTATATATTGTCAATAAGAATAAGTATATTGATATAAAATGTGATAAACGTAGTGTAGATCTCTTTATCAAACATATCTCGTTACTTGATGTCAAGTTTCAGTACTTATTAAAAAAAGTAAAAGGTGATGTAATTTTGAATTGTTTCTTGTTGTTATCGATAACAATGAAAAATTTTAACATGTATATGGAAAAATCGAAAGATGGAAAGCACTCAGCAACATTACGTACATTCATGCAGTAGGCAGTGACGTATGCCTATTGTGTTGTTGCCCAAATCTTGAAAGGTAGAGCAAGTTTCGAATGTATGATCCATTGGTTGATTATCATCTGTTTAAACCACTATGTGATAGCTAGACAACATGTACGTGATGTGTTAACCTATCTAGTTTATTTGTAAATTTATCTCTTTGGGCATCATTATTATTATTTGTCTCTTGAGTTCCTAGTGGAACATAGGGATTCACTAACACGTCTCCATTCCACTCTCTTCTCAACAGTCTTTCAGACCTCACTCCACACTTGCACACAAGCTTTCATTTACTCTTCACACCATCTGCTCCATGTCACCCTCGCACACACACAACTCGTCCTTTCCCATGTGGGTTCCACTCGAGGGTGTGACCTGATCTGATATGTGATGTCCCAAAACCGTTTTCTCAGTGTATGTATAATTCAATCCAATCCATCTCCACTCGTGCATATTTGTTGGGTGATGGGTTGTTGGTTGATTCATTTCCATGATGAGTTCCTTGTTGCCTATTCTTTGTGACCATTTATCTGATCTTCAGTGTGAGTATGGAGTGAGCGTAGGTGGCAGTGGCTGTTGATGATGTATGTGTGAAGTTGTCTATTGGAAATGCTTTTTGTAACGCACCGCCAAGTCTCTCAATCATCACATAGAAGCACTGACCTGACTGACAATGTTGAGAGTCCGAATGTTGTTCACGCTTTATGCTAAGTACAGTAGATCTCTACACTGATTTCAGATAACTGAAGCAAGGCCTGTCTTCTTATCTTTCTGATCCTAGCTTTGAAGTCATCATTTGTGCCGCTAGTGCCACCTGTAGTTGAAACGATTCTGCCTTGCCTAGGTAGGCGGGTGAAAGAGACAACTTCCTTTAGATTTCTCACGTTGATTATGAATGGTGCTTGTTATTGATGTTGTTGGTTGGGTATGTTCGTCACCTCTTTTTTCTCAACTTTCACCTGAAGTCCCATGTTTGCTGCCCTGCCTCTTCTGCCAACTTGTTAGTTTTCATCTGTAGATTTTGTTAAGCAACTGAATAAAATTTATTAAAGACTGGAATAGAATAATTTTCAATATCTTCTCTGATTCTATGTTTCCGTTATTCACTTTTGAGTAGGCTACACAACTCAGTGATTTCTTATTCTAATTTTGTACTAAAATTGATTATGTTACAATTTGAGTCTATAACTTATTGATAGATATATATGATATATTGAAATTTTGCAGGCTATGTGGAACCGTGGATCTAATTCAGCTAACTTAACATCACCATCAACTATTAGTCGTAAAGCACAAAATCTGTCAGTATCTGATTCTAAAGTGAAAAATGTAATTAATCGTAGTGAAATATCTTCAGCATCGAATTCTGGAACAAGTGGACAAAATAGTATTAATTCAACTGTGAATCGACCAATTTATCCACAATTTGCTGTAAGTAAAAGTTCAATACAAGCCTGTGAACCATATGAATCATCAATTAGTCCAAACTTTTCTTCTATTCATCAAAATTATGAACCAAAAACTATTCAAACAGTACATTCACGTTTTCGACAATTTTGGGTAGAAACATTTGTTAGTGGTCGTTCTAGAACAAAATCTGAAAATCAAACACCTATACAACCAGATAATCATAAAGTACGATTTTCTGATCGTTTAAATGAACCATTATATCCAGAGACAGATGTTCTTCCATTACATGCTTATACAATAACTGGTGATTCTAGTCAAGCAGCTTCAATTCTACGTCCATTAGCTGTTTATACAAATTTATCTAGCCCACATTCAGATCAAATATCACCAGGATTTATATCATCCGGTACAGGTAGTCTAAGACGACTTGTATCTAAACATTCTCGTAGTGGTGTAAATGGAATCTCAATGACACCTCCAGCATTTTATTTATCTCAACAAAGTGACAAATTTCGTTTTTCAAAATCTCCTACAGGATCAAAGGACGTTTTGTTTCAACTGGGAATATACCAGGTAAAAGTTCAGAAGAGTTATATGTACTACCAAAACCGTCTAAACTACCTTGTGAACAACCAATCAGTAGTCTAGAATTTACAACTTCACGGTTAAAGAATCCTAAAAAGGTAAGTTTTTAATCGATGTCTTTTCTGTTATTGTTCAGAGATGTGAATAACTGATTACTCAATAGGAGTTTTAATAGATATTCCTTGAGTTGACGAAAGGTTTTTTTTTCCACTGAAATCTTTATCAAAAGTAAAAATTCATAAATAGTATATTCACTTATGGACTGAAGTGTATGAATCCAAGTTAGATAACATTTGGATGAAAAAGCATAAGAACAAGAAAAATTGGAGGGAATAACTGTTTTCAATAACTTCTTCTTTAGGCGCTACTCAATTATAAATCTATGAGAATAAATGAAATACAATAGCCAAAAAAAGGTATGAGATGTATAATTTCGAAAAAGTCAGTATTTTGATGAGTGAATGGAGATTTAATCGAATGGAATAGAGGAATGGTTATCGGTTTAGTGTGTTGGTTGTATAATGAAAACCTACAGACAATGATTCATTTAAATACTTTATTTTTGTCAGCTTCTTAACCAACTCATTACTGACATAGAGAACTAAGAAAAGGTTACCTATGATGGCTACTTCAATGTGCATTTATGAGTTCAACTGCTCCTATGGAGCTAGTTACATAGACCATACTCAAAAGGCTATATCAACGCGCGCTTGTGAACATGTAACAGCTTGGTTAGGGAAAGGAATGACAAAGAGCATCAATAATGCAATCCTCTCATATCTAGTAGACACCGGACATCAGATTAAGGTAGAGAACGCCTTTTCTATGATATACCGTCTCACTTGTAATCTCCCTTAAGGTGCACGACTTCATATCTTATCCATAGGTGAAGCCATAGGGGAAGAGAACCGGAACTTTATGTTCAAAAGAAATATGTACATCCACTTTGTTTATCTTGGTCAACAACAGGGTCAACACATTCTTGAATTTCCCTACCACGAATTGGACATTTTAACCTCCTATCCATTTCTTCTGTATTTTCACTACATTGATAAACATTCATTTTCTTTTACTATTAGTGTTTTGCCCTTCATACCACTACCAGTAGTCATTTTCAACCGTGACGTAATACTTCACACTTGTTATTTTCTATTTCGTTATAGTATTTACATGATTTTCATCCCACTGGAATATAAATCATCACTACATGATTATTATTTGACCCTTAGTTAACAAACATACATATACACACACCCATGACCCAGTAAATGTATATAAATGAATCATTATCTGTAGATTTTGTCACCTCATTTCGTAATTGTTCTGTTAATAGTGATTTCATTGTACAATTAACACACTAAACTGATAACCATTCAGCCATCCCCTTCGGTCCGATCTCTATTCTCCCATAACATTGATTGTTTCAATATAGTAATAATAGTACATCGTGACGTATTTTGAAGTCAGTGCTTGTCTATGGTTCAGAGACTGGGCGGCTCGTTACGAAAAGCAGACATTCATCAACGGCTGTCACCTACGCTTACTCGATACTCACACTGAAGATCAGACAAATGGTCACAAACAATAGGCAACAAGGAACTCATCATGGAAATGAATCAACCAACAACCCATCACCCAACAAATATGCACGAGTGGAGATGGATTGGATATACACTGAGAAAACGGTTTGGAGACATGACGCATCAGACCAGGTGACACCCTCGAGTGGAAACACATGGGAAAGGACGAGTTGTGTGTGCGAGGGTGACATGGAGGAGATGGTGTGAAGAGTAAATGTAAGCTTGTGTGTAGGTGTGGAGCGAGGTTAGAAAGACTGTTGAGAAGAGAGTGGAATGGAGACGTGTTAGTGAAGCCCTATGTCTCAAGAGACAAGTAATCACAATAATATACTGCCTTATTTTGGCTATTGTATTTCACTTATTCTCATGGATTTATAACTGAAGAGCCTGAAGAAGTTATTGAATAAGCATCAATTTAGTTTCTGATGCAAAAATCATTCACTATTTCTTTCTTCATACATCTATTTGGATATACAAGTTTTTCTGGAGTATAGAGTTTTTCGGAAGTATTACCTTGACTCCTTTTTCCTTTACGGTAAACGTGGTTCAAAAGAAATTTCCTAGGGTGAGATTTATGCTACTTAAAAGAACGGATATAAGTAGTATAAAGTATGATTTTTTGCTTGGATTAGTATTTAGAGCTGATCTTCTAAAAGAAAAAAAGAAATATTTATGAGAAAGAAATCATAAAGCAAATAGAAACGCAAGCGAGACTGAAGGAAAGACAGACTGACGGATCTACTTGGAATCTGAAACAAAAGTGTATCACTTCTAGTTACTATGCTTGTCAGCATTACATAAAATTAGATGGTGTTTTAAGAGTAGACCGAATAAGCGGTTACAGGTTAATACAAATATCTAAGCCCAGAAGAGGACAAATAGTTTATATATCTGCATCACTGTGGCCGATATTTAGTCATATCACTTATCGTTTCCAGACATTGTTTTCTAACATTTTGAGGACTCCAGCCAGACAGACTAAACCTACCTAAACAGCTCAGATCAGTGGTTGAAGACTCCATAGACTTGTTCAGTGTCTTGATCTGGTGGGTCCTAGCTCTCTTTTGACATATTCTTGCTTCTGCCAACATCGCATATGGAGGTTCAAATGTATCGGCATGCGAAACACATCTCCAAGACAATTAGAGGAGTGATGGAGAATATTTGAATCTCAGGAGAATAAATTTAACGTTATTCAGAATCGACTAGGAAGTTGTTGGACGTTAATAGCTGACAGTAAATATCCGTGCATCGATAGTAACCATACAAGTTTCAGATCAAACTATTAAAGGAATATTGTGCTGATAATGTTGTCTAAAATGACAATGTGAGCTTCACGATTAAACAATACAGGTCAGAGAAAGCAATACCATCGAAAACTGTTTTTGAAGCTAGATGATTACAGGATTATATACAGGATTATACCGGTAGATCAGTTCCCTGTAAGATTGCTTCAATATTGTTACTACTTCAAGAGCTTCTCACAATCTGCATGAAACTATGAGTATATAATCATAAATGTAAACGCCACTTACTTGAAGTCCAGTAGTGAAAGGTATTTAGCTCATACTAATGAACAGAGCTAAGGGATTTGCAGTGTATCAGTTAATTACATTGGACTGGTGTTATTTGATTGGAAATAATCAGTAAGGAGCCCTGTTTGATCTAGGTTTTGAGCTTGTTAGCACTCGTCAGCAAAATGTATCTGCAATCACAAGGGAAGTGATGTCTCTCCTGAAAAGTGAACTCATGTTATTCAGTGTTTCAGTCATAAAATTCATCACAGAACTGTTCAAGTCCCTGATTTACCTCTTACAGAAGTGGATTAAATAGTTTGGTTGTTATCTGTTAGGTAAATAACTTCATACTGTCTAGTTTTGAATGTGGCCAGCAAGCTAAAAGGCTCACCATAGATAGATGCTAGTTGATTGATACTATAGTTGTGTGTGAAGGTGAACTGTCAAGGAATGTCAAATAACGGAATACACCCATTTGATCACAGGAAAAGACAAGACGTGATTTTAGCGAAGAAAAATTCCTTTCTTTTCGATGAAGTCATTTACTAAGCTGTAAATTCGTGAATATATGTTACAGTGGGTAGAATGTTCCAGAATTGTTTCCGTTCAGGGGAGCAAAATTCATTGAATAAGTAACTAAAGGAAGTTAATTAATTCATATTTGTGTTTAGAGTGAGAAAACAGACAGGGGATTATCAAATTAAATTTAATTACATAATACAGGATGAATGTATGGCAAAGTAGGAAACTGAACGAAGGGTTATGGAGATGAAATTGCGATTATGCAATACCGGAGAAACCTATGACAGAGTATGAGAATAAACAGGGGATCGTGAAAAATAAGATAGTAATTACGTAATACAGGTTCAATCTGATACAAAATGAATCTGTAGCAGACAGGGATTTATGATGGCGATGGCAAAGATAAAGGTTGGACGTACCTTTTTTGCACGCATAACGCTGGTTTGAACTTCTGGATGGCTAATGCTTAAGCTATAGACAGATGCCTTGATTTTACTCCTTTCGAGTGGTTTGGACAAACCCTGTAGAGAATTTTCAATGAGCTCTCGAAAGGAGCTAAGTGGCCTGAGTTCACGAGGTGTTCTGTTATTGAACTGAAGATGCATTTCCATTCTCCCTTTGCAAGCCAGACTGGGTAGTATCAGCGGGCACGTTTTACAAGCGGACGCATGGTACGGCCGATGTACTCAGCTTCACAAGAGCAAGTAAACTGGTATACACACGTTGATGTGGCCCAATGCGTAGGCTTGTCTTTCACACACTGACTGAAAAGTTTCTTGCAGGAGAAAATTATCCGAATGTTGGCGGTAAAGTATGTTCTGTTTATGGATTTTGACAGTTGTTTCCTCAGGATCTCTGCAGCAATATCATTTTTGAATTCAAGATTCAACAAAAAACCATTTTCGGCGCCAAAACTCTTCGTTTACTTGGGTTCTTTGGCTTTATGTTCTTATCTATGAATCTGAGCGGGAACCCATTTTCCTTTCGTCATTCAATATATTTTGCCCCCTGACTGGAAACAATTCCGGAACATTCTACCCACTGTAACATATATTCACGAATGTACAGTTTAGTAAATGACTTCATGGAAAAGAAAAATATTTCTTCGCTGAAACCATGGAATATCAAATAGGAGTAAATAACAATCCATTATCCTTAGGTTTTAATTGGTCTTCAACTGATATTAACCGGTGAAGAAACTTACGTGCCAAACAGTAAATCCCAACCTATCCCAATGTGAACATATATAGAAATGTTAGTTATGGTTGAATTTCATTACTCAAATAATTTCCTTTCTTTTTAAGTTGTACACTGTAGTGTCCTAAACAACCACTTCATGTGGACAGTTTTTAGCTTGATATCTCATTCTATATCTTCCTTATGTTTTTTCCCCTTCCTTTTGCAGAACTTTCCACTGAAAACTAGTCTGGATGTGTTACGCAGAAAAAGAGGTTAGTCAACTTTAAAAACAATTTGTTTTATGATAATTCTTCAAAGATTTTTTTAGTTTTTAAGTCTTTTCCTGGACATTTCAACACTACACTGGACGACTTCACCAGGATTTATTTCATGATTTCTTACGTAGGAAATTTACCAACCTTGAGAGTTACTAGCTTATAGGCAGATATGAATTTTCTCCTTTCTTTTTATTATATGTGGACGTTTATAACTATTGTGACCAGCGACCCCCGCAGGGTTCGAGTCCTACTGCAGCCCATATTTTTATTTCACCTTCAATCATCATCCAATATATCCACCCATTCTTCCTCCTAATCATCATGCCGAGTTTCATTGTTGCATCACTTCAATACCACAAACTTTTATCGATCTCATTCAACAGCTATATGAATACGCCACATACCAAGTGATTCATAATGGGGAGCTCAGTGACGCCTTTGAAGTGAGGACAGAAGATAGGAGTAAGACAAGACTGCCTCCTACGACCAGCGATCATCTTCCTGATTGTGGTGGACTGGATCAGGCAGGAAATTGTCGGGAACGAGAAGACGGGTATACGCTGGTCCAATGAAAAGACCTTAGAAAATTTGGATTTCGCCGACGATTTGTGTCTAATATCACACAAACTCAAACATCTACAGGAAAAACCAAAACGTTGACAGAAGAGACGAGGCAGCGAAGACGGGAAAGACTTCAGGTGAACGCAGAGAAAACAGAGGTGATGAAGATACCCAACCAACAACAAGAAGCACCAATCACTATGAACAGGATAAATCAAGTGGAAGTTGTCTCTTTCACCTACCTACGCAGCATCGTTTCAACTACAGGCTGAGGCATAGATGAGGATGTCAAAGCATCCATGGTCGGAAAAGCAATACAGGCTTTCATTAATCTGAAATCGGTTTGGAGATCTGTTGCACTCCACTCAGCACAAAGCGTGAACAAGATCCGGATTTTCAACATCAACGTCAAGTCAGTGCTTCTGTGTGATAGTTGAGAGACTTGGAGCGTTACGAAAAGTATTTCTAAAAAAAAACAGACATTCATCAATAGCTACCACTTACTCACACTCGATCAGATGGGTGGCCAGAAAGAATAACCTACAAGAAACTCAGACTGGCAATGAACCAACCAACAACCCATTGCCCAGCATATATGCATAAGAAAGTGGAGATGGATTCGATCGGATTGGATTAGACATACACTGAGAAAACTATTCGGAGATATCACATGCCAGGCCAGCTTCTCGAGTGGAATCCAAAGGAGAAAGGACGAGTTGGGCGTCCCAGCTGAGGGTGACATGGAGTAGATGGTGTGAAGAGTAAATGAAAGCTTGTGTGCAGGTATGGAGTCAGGTTGGAAAGACTGCAGAGAATAGGGTCCAATGGAGATGTGCTGCTGAATCCGTATGTTCCATTAGGACAAGGATTCGGTTATCTATCTCTTCCTCCAACCCTTCAAGTTAATTTTAAAGATTTTCACTCCGTCTTATTCTATTTTGTGGTTGTGTATAATTGTACCCATAGCTATGGTTGAACTTTCTTTTTACTAGATTCCTTATCTCACTAGGACCTACCAGTTTTGACCTAGCTAGGTTTCTGTGCTCGGACAGCCTAAATGATGCTGATCGACTACTTTGAACTGTGTATTTCAACTCGCAATCGTTTCAAGAGATTTGGAAAACATATTTATTCTACCTGATTTGATCAGTAGAATCTTTTGATTTACAAAGCTTATCTGTAAGTGAGTTCGTAGGTTCAACTGCCACTTTAAATACCAGCCAGGCTCATCGAGAATCCTAAGTAATGTCTAGGAGGTACCTTCCTTGTATGGTAATACTGTAGAGGTTTTGAACTTTCTGTTCACCATTATTATTGTCCTATGTGTTAGTAATATTAGTGGAATCAAAATTGGTAAACCCTAGTAAGATAAATAATCTAGAAAAAAGCTCCACCTTAACTATACATACAGTTATACACAATCACACAATAGGATGGACATAGTAAAATTCCTTAAAGACAAATTAGTGGGGAGAAGAGAGAAATTAGTAACTGAATCTTTGTGGTTGCATTGATCCTGGACTGACGTCCGTCAAGCTCGTTAACCATCCAGTCGCTGTGTTGAAGTTCAATAGTCTACAGTTGCCCACTTCTATCTTTGAGGGGTCGTAGGTGCACGGTGCTGAGGAGTCCTATACTAGGACGAAACAGTTGTATAGTCCACTCAGGTTCTCAGTGGTTTATCAGCCTATATACCAGTCTTTAGTGAATACAACCTTAAAATAAAATCCGTATAAGTCTTGAACTGTATAAGTGAATCTCTGTTCATCGAATTACCACGAAACACATGCAACAGTAATGACTTATAACATGTCGCAGATATATGAAGAATCCTGCTGTCTATATCCCAAAAATAGGGAGAGAATTAGAACTATATGAATCATGTCTAAAAGTTGTGAAGTAACCTTGATTCACTTTTAAGCAAAAGGAAGAAGGAATATACTTGTGGAATAAAAAGGTATCAGTTTTATTTCACACACCTTCATCAGCTGCAGACAATTTAAATTTACAACAGAACTAATTGAATTTTCAAATCAATGGAATACTTTATTCAGATGGGTTGAAAATTAGGTAGAAAGGCTTCCAGAAATCCACAATAATAGTAAAAGAGGGAGAGATGGTGGCAAGTGAAGATGAAAGTTACCTGTCTTAGTCAATAGTCATGATAATTCATGTATATTGTTAGATCGATAATTCTAAATTTGTGAGGGAAAAATATGATAATACAAGAAGAGAGTTGTTAAGTAATCAAGAAATTAGGTACTTTAACACATGATCAATCAGAAAATATCAAAGTAACTTTGATCGAAATAAAGAAGGTAGATAAACGATGTCATAATCAGGGTAGCACCAGGTTAAGTTTAAAATGTCTGATTATTAGGCTTTCAGCAAAGTATAGTTGAATCGGTGTTGGCCAGTTATTTTTTATCGGTTTTAAAAACCTCAGAGGTATATCTTTTCATTATTATTATTATTATTATTACTATTATTATTATTATTATTATTATTTGTCTCTTGGGTTCCTAGTGGAACATAGGGCTTCACTAACACGTCTCCATTACACTCTCTTCTCAACAGTCTTTCAAACCTCACTCCACACCTGCACATAAGCTTACATTTTCTCCTCACATCATCTACTCCATGTCACCCTCACACACACACAACTCGTCCTTTCCCATGTGGGTTCCACTCGAGGGTGTGACCTGATCTGATATGTGATGTCCCAAAACCGTTTTCTCAGTGTATGTACAATTCAGTCCAATCCAACCCAATCTAGTCCATCTCCACTCGTGCATATTTGTTGGGTGATGGGTTGTTGGTTGATTCATTTCCGTGATGAGTTCCTTGTTGCCTATTCTTTGTGACCATTTATCTGATCTTCAGTGTGAGTATGGAGTGAGCGTAGGTGGTAGCTGTTGATGATGTATGTGTGAAGTTGTCTGTTGGAAATGCTTTTCGTAACGCTCCAAGTTTCTGAACCATATAGAAGCACTGTTTGTATCACATGTCCGTTTATTGACACACTTGTAAAAACTTGGCGCCATTTCAAATGGCAACTTTTTACAAAATGTAATATCAAGCAGATGCCGTTCTCTAAATCCTTCATATGTGGTGATGGAAGCAATTACGCATAAACTGATAGGTAAGAAGGCTATGTCTGCGTGCTTTATGAGGTGTGAATAAACATTTTTAGTAGAACTAACTATACAAATGTCTTAAAGCCAATGATTATCCACTCAACTTTACCGAATAGTGTTTATTGGTTAACAGGGCTAACAGGGCAAAAATCTCAAATCCGATAGCAGGTTACTCTCTCCTTCATAAAGGATGTTTCTAAAACTGTTAACTGTTTGGTTCATCTTTTACGGAAGTGGAATAGCTAACAAATTAGTGGAACCACTACAAATCATTAATGTAAGAGTAGAACTTGGGCACTCATTTGAATGTGCGTGATAAATCCTGCTCGAAACATCATCCAGTACGTAGTACCGTATCACTCATTGTGTGCTATATCAAATAAACAATCTAATATGGAACTGCACTTCTTGATTATGTTGTGCAAGTTGAAGGAAGATAGGACAGATAGAGTCTACAAACCCAACTGCAAGGATTGTTTCGCAACACTACGTTATTCAATCTAGCCATTGGATTGTTCAAATAATTCATCAACATCAACTAGCAGCAAAGTGATACGACAAAACTTCTTTGATTTCAATGCATGCAGACAGTTATAGTGACAAATTTGACTTGAAAAATGTGGAAATTGTCCGAAGGGCTAGTTCCAAAGCTCCAAGAAAGTTTCTAGAAACATGATATCCCAACGAAAAGTCATCCAACAGATACATGGATGTAGACTGATTCTGCAATATTCTTAGGCAGTAAACAGCCATCTCTCGATCAACAGAAAATCGGTCCAAAGAATCGTTAATGAAGGAGAGTGTAACAATAACAAATAGTACAATTTCACTCTGTAAATATTTCCCACCGTTGTGATCAAATGAGATTTAGGTTTAAAGAGGTCAGGGAGTGATGAAAATCTTGTCTCCAACAACTGGGGCCAGCAAAAATACTACCTGAGCATTTGTCTAACACTAAAATGTGCTTCACTCATTTATAAAGATAGCGCTGGAGTGACTTTAACGGCCACCTTAATGGATACTGAGATAACCAATTACAGTTCTTTAGTTTGTTGAAAATAATCTCCCAACTGGAATACGAAAATGTGATAGGTTATTCCTATAGTTACTATGTTACGGTAATGATGGATAGTGGCTAGCAGCGGAGTCCAGGATGCGCATTTCGTCCTATTTGGGACTCATCAGCTGGATATACCTACCTCCCAGTGTAGAGTGATGTTGTTCTGCACCAGGACTGGAATTCGGCATCGATCGCTTCAAACGCCATAGCATTATTCATTACACCACCGAGTTATGGTAGCTACTTCTTGTGCAGTGGGTATAGTCTTAGTATTATTACTTGTATTATACCATCGCTGACTGGACGGATTCGATCGGTCTCTATTAGTGTATGGGCTCCTATGCGGATGCCTCGATATTACTTGTGTTTTAATTATGGTAATAATGCGCATCCTGGATCCCACTGCTAGCCACTTTTCATCATTACTATATAGCTAGAACACAGGTAATATCAAGGCATCCACACAGGAGCCCATATGCCAATAGAGACTGATCAATTCGGTCCAATCAACGATGGTATAATACAAGCAATAATACTAGTGAATAGGTTAGCTTTTAAAGTCCATCCAGTGATAAGGATGCCACCAAGCCTGGTAAAGTGATTCATGTTTAACAAAATGTCAAGGCTCAGAAGATACACAGTGAACCACCATCATTAACTGGCTTGAAATAAGTAATTGAAATGCTTTTCTCATGTTAAAAGAAGAATTCTGATACGATAGCTAATCTGTAAAAATGTAAATAGCATTATCGAATATCAACAAGAAGTAGGAAATAGAAACTATTACCAATGTGGAATTGTGTATTCAACTGTGTATCCATTTGTTTACCAGTATATATAAGTTTGTATACATATGTATATCCTTCACTTGCAAGTGAGTATCGTAATCTTTATGATATAATCAACAAAACGTAAGGGTATTTAATGCATAAAAATCTACTTTGAAAGGGTTTCATGTGATTCATAGAAGTACAAAAATAGTATAAAAAAACAATCATTGTATCATGAATAAACCAACAACAATAGATCACATTATAATACTTTTATTCGAAAAAAAAGTTGTTTTCGAATAACCGGTTCATTGTTTGTAAGAAGTATTATATTTTAAAAACTATGCTACCTTCAAGCTATTTATTATTATTATTTGTCCCTTCTGTTCCTAATGGAACATAGGGCTGCAGTAGCACGTCTCCATTCCACTCTCTTCTCTGCAAATCTTTTCAACCTGGCTCCACAACAGCCCACTACCTCTCATTTCCTCCTCGCACCATCTCCTCCATGTCACCCTCGCCTCGGATGCCCAACTCACCGTTTCCCATCTGCGTTCCACTCGAGTACCTGGTCTCGCACGTGATGTCCCAGAATGGTCTTCCCAGTGCATGCCCAATCCCATCCATCTCCACTTCCTTCCACTGCATATTTGTTGGGTGATAGGTTCTTGGTTGGTTCGTTGACAGCCAGCCACAGTGAGTTCCTTGTTGTTTATTGTTTCTGGCAATCCATCTGATCTTCATTAGGGAGTCAGCGAAGGAGGCGGTTGTTGATGTATGTCTGCAGTTGTTTGTTGGAAATGCTTTTCGTAACGCACCACCAAGTCTCTCAATCATCACATAGAAGCACTGACTTGACTGATATTCGTGTTGAAAATCTGGATGTTGTTCACGCTTTATGTTGAGTGCATTAGATCTCCAGACTGGTTTCAGGTTGATGGAAGTCTGTCTTGCTTTTGTGATTCTGACTTTGACATCCTCGTCTGTGCCGCCGCCGCCGCTGCGGCGTGTATTTGAAACGATGCTCTTTTACCTAGATAGGTGAAAGGGGCTACTCCCTTTAAGTTTGAATCTTGTTGTTGTTGTCGGTGGTGTTGTTGGTGATGTTGTTGGTTGGGTATCTTCATCACTTCTGTCTTCTCTACATTCACTTGAAATCCCGTCTTCGCTGCCTCTTCTGCCAACCTGTTAGGTTTTGCCTGTAGATCTTCAAGTTTGCGCGACATCAACCTTCAGGCTAGCTAGTTGAAAATTGCCATTATATTAACCAATTCACTTAACTGAGAAGTTACATCAGCCTGACTGAACTGATTGGTGACGAAATCTGAGCCCGTTTGGCATTTGCCAAATTATATCATCTATGGCGCCAACTGAATAGATATCCGACTATCTATCAAAGGACAAGTGTTGAGCACTGCAGTCTGTTCTACCATGTTATAAAACTGTGAGACAATAGAACACATGAAGCATTTACAGGGCTTTGATCATAGGTTTTTTCGTAGCATCGTTCGCGTTAGGTGGGATCACTGTATAAGCAACGATGAAATCGAGCGAAGGGTACTAGGCAAGATAGGAAACTTGATGAATAAGGTTATGAACTTTTATCGGCTAAGATGGCTTAGACACATATTGTTCATGCTCATCCACCACCAACCTCAACATACAGTGCTATGAAACGTTGGATTGGGTTGATAAAAGGCTGCTGTTGGCCACATCAAGACGTGACACCAGTTGGTCAAGTCTGTGGTTGTTGATTTAAGTTGTTTAAGGACATGTAGACTATCTGGCTGGGGTCCACGCGACAAAAAATATCAGCGGTTGGGGACTGTTTTTGAAATGGCTGATGTATCCATTCTTTGACGTCTTCTATAGCTTAATTGTTCTGACAAACCTTCATTTTTAAATCCCCTGCCCTCCTATGCACCTTCATATACTTTCTTTTCTATCCACTTGGTTTTTGTATACTATTGTGTATTATGACAAGTTGAACCGATACGAAGCTCTGTGTAGATTTCATCTGTCTGTCTATTTGATGACTGGAAGTGAAATAACAATCCAAATTGCGGAAAAATTTGAATCAGCGACCTCCAAGCTACCTGCACAGTTCTTTACTGACTGAGCTAACAGATTAATCACATATAGTGACTATGTGTTCATCATCATTACACCAGCTGTTTAACCAGGTCTCGTCATTCCAATTCATTTATTAGGCGGACATATTGGCTGTAGAGAAAATATGGTCTCAGGACTTTATTATCACGTTCATTTACTATCTTTTATTGATCACTATCAGTTAATAAATTATCTAACTGTTAGACAGAACTGCACAGCAGAAAGTAGACTTCCAGTGTTAGGTTTCAGATAAAAATTTAAATCAATAGTTGAAGACAATGTCATATTTCTTCAAGGTGATTTCAGCGAATTCACATTTAATCCTAATCTTCAAATCACCTTTGTTATTTATTCTCTGCACTCCTTATAGTCTTTCCGTGAACATTTATCTCATTTAACGCAGTGCTTTCTATCTTGATAAAGTGTTTTGAGGTGTGACAACCTGGACTTATGTCTAACTACATAGCATCATTAAAACGACCGTTCGTGACTAGCTCCAAGCAGATGTCCTCTAGTCTCTCCAATCACGCACCAACCCTTCTTTTTCAGGTACCTCAAGAAGATCTAGCCGTCCATGGTGTGGGTAGCCGAGAAAAGTCAATCGCCTTCACAACTCTGTCAGCGCCCAAGTTCCCCAGATCACTATCCACTTGTCCCATCCTTACGTTCTTATCTCCCTTCACGTCTCCCAGTTAATTATCCCACATCATCGTTAATTTTTTTTAGCTCTGTAGCTCTCAATAACAATCTGAGTCTACAGAACAACAACTTTGGGCTCCTTAAACCACGCTCCTAATTACACATTGGAGCCTTCAAAGTCCGCACCCTCTGTTAACAACTAGATTCCGGCCCGATAGTCGTGGAACCTGAATGTCCTCAATGCTAAAAAGTCCTATACTAAGAGGAAGTAACTATCTGATGCTCTCAGGTTTCCAGTGGTTCTGTAATTAATGTCCTCAAAAACCTCCAGAATGAAAAACTGTTTATTTCTGAATGCTATTTTTTAATTAAAGTTCTTTACGCAAAGAAAATAATGTTAAAAAGAAACAGGAAATGACGGAAAGTAATTATTTTCAGTGTTTGTGATGTGGAAATATTTAAAAAAAATATGAACTATGACTTAACAATAATCATTCACAAGGTCACCTTGCAAACTTTCTCTCTCTTTTTTTTACTTCAATTAGCTGGAAGTCTTAGTGGAAGAATAATTGATCGTAAAAGTTTAACTATATCTCCACCTCCCCCAAGAGGATTTCTTCTAGAACACTTTTCAAGGTCTGAAGAAAATATTCCTACTGAAATGGATAGACCTAGATCTAAGGTGACAAATCTAATTCCAAGTGGGACTTCAAGTACTACATCAGCTTCTAGTGTTGCAATTCCTACTCAATATGATATTCCTTCAAGTTTACAACAACAAAATGAATCAAAACTATATCATAATCATCATCCTCATCCTCCTCCTCCTCATCATCACCACCATCACCACCATCATCATCATCATCATCGTCACGGTAACCATGGACATCATCGTAATCGTGGACATTTAAATCATCATGGACATAGTTTAACGCATACAATGACAAGAGTAGTTGAAAGTAGACGCTATCTTATGTTTACAAAATCATTACCATTTTGGGTAAGTTGGGTGTACAAGCTATTCGTTCCTTTTTTCTTCTTCAAATTATCTATTTATTCTCTCATGTTTTATTCCTCATAAAGCTTTAGCCTATTATGAAACAGTATCCTTGTCATTTGGCTGTTGATTAAATAAATGGGACTTTCTCGGTAGTATTGTGTTCTTTGAGCAGGATTGTTTAATCACGGAGCTTTTATCTTCTTTCTGGACGACGTCATCAGCATAAACTTCAGAATGAAGTGACCTGTTAATATCTCCCCATGAGTGATTTAGTACCGTGCCCTGACCAACTGGTTTATGATTGGTTGTCTCCTTCGACTGTTGTGTCATTGACTGACTGTATAGATTTTCATGTTAGCTGTTCCTTTGCTTGACTTCTAACCTTTCTGTCGTTTATCATTTTTCTCACTGGTTGACAAATGGGGTCTATTTCTATACATCTATTGATTGCCGACTGACTGACGTGAATGCCAAGCTTCTAGGAATTCTCTGATATTCTTTGGGTTTTCTCTCTCCCTCCAAGATTTCTACATTGTCGAAATTGGATTCATATTCATAGTTATCTACATGCACTGATGTATAGACATAGATCCAATCTATCAGACAATGAGAAAAATGATAAATGGCATAAAGGCCAGAGGTCAAGCAGGGGAACAGTCAACAGGAAAACCTATACAGTCAACGACACAACAATAAACTGAAATAACCAATCACAAACCACTTCATCAGGGCAAACTACAAGACCACTCACGGAGAGATATTGACAGCTCACATCATACTGAAGTTATTGCTGATTATATCGCTGTCTAGAAAGATGATGAAAACTCCATGACGAAGCAACCGACGTTCAGAGAACACAATACAACTAAGACCATCTACCTGAGCTAGAAATATTCTCCACCTAATAAATTATATTTCTAAGCACACTGTTCAAACAAAAACAAATCTCTATCCAAAAGCCTTATAGAAATATTTTGAACGTCATTATCGAGACTGTCAACTATGGTAGAGTATAATTCCATATGAGATTAACTTATTTGATACAGCATACAATAACATGGTATTTACTATTTGCTCGATGAAGTTTCGAGCACCATATATTTCTCATGAACAGAAAGTCTAAATGTATATATGAAAAGAGTATCCTGTTAAAGTTATTCAGAATTTCTGAAAAGACTCTTAAAGAAAGGGTAAGCAAGGATATAAGTAGTGACTGTGACAAAACTTATAAGGCATTCATCACTCATACAATGAGGAAGGATTAGTAGAAAGCCTACTTAGGACGCTCACTAAGTCTGGAATAAGAACCGTATTGAAACCTATAAGTTCCCTCACACAGAACCATTGTCAACTGAGGGCTTCCAATCACATATTTAGATATGATTTAGCAAACCCCGTGAACTCATTATAAGATGAGATCAAGCTATAGGTCACACTAGCTAAACCGTATCATTTCTTGCTCACACCACCCCCTGCATGTCACTTTCGGACACCACACTCGTCGTTTTCCACTTGGCTGCAACTCAAGGGCCCGGGCTGGCCTGGCCTTGCGTGGGCCGTGATGTCACCGAACCGTCTTCTCAGTGTATGTCCAGTCCTATCCAATCCAATCCACCTTCACTTCCTACTACATATTTGTTGGGAGATAGGTTCTTGGTTGGTTCGTTGCCAGCCACAGTGAGTTCCTTGTTACTTATTCTTATCATTCTGTCCATCTGTCTGATCACTATCGACGAGTGTAGGCGCCAGCCGCTGAAAATGTATGCGTGAAGTTGTTTGTTGGAAATGCTTTTCATAACGCTCCCCCAAGTCTGTGAACCATCACACAGAAACAGTGACTTGACTGATGCTGTTGACGCTTTATGTCGAGTGGACTGGAAACATCATCATCATCAAAATCAACATAGGACCAGGCATTAATGAGTAACGGTCCAAATTGTCACACCTCATCTCATATCAATACATCAAGTAAAAAGGCACTGAGGCACAACATGAAGATAAGAAAATGCAGTCACAAGAAACATAAACTACTCAAAGAGATAAAAGAAAAGAGAGAAATGAGAAAGTGATGAGATTCGGTATAGCGTATAGTGGTTAAGATGAGGATAATGTGTGTATACATCTGGACCACTGACATCGGTTCTCAGCCATATCATCACATAGAGTTAGTCTCCAAACAATGATTTCTCTTGTCCCACGGACCCCAATCACCCAGTCTGCATCCCACCACATGGCTCAAACCAACAGTCAAACACTTCATATATTGATGCCATGTTTTGATCTGACCTCGAACCAACAGCCGTTTTCCAGCCTGAACCCACCTACTTCAGTGAAGATTGTTTGACGAGGCAGGCGGTGACTAGGCATGTGTAACACATGTCGGAGCCGAGCATCCCAGTTGATGAAGGTTCACAACCTCATCAACTCACTTACCTCTTCTCCCTCTCCCTAACACTCTACACCTCAGTCTGACTTCTACACTACTCACATCGTGACACCACAGAATACGGCAGCCTATACGACGAAGGCGATGGACAATGGACAATGGTGGACAAACACCTGAAGCCTTTTCATGTCTTCCACCTTTAATGGCCATGTTTCACAGCCATATGACAGAACAGAGCAGACTGATGTGCAGGTGCAGTACACGCAACCCTTTATAGACAATCGGATATCATGGTGTCTGTCGCCATAGGTGATGCAAGTTGGCAAAAGCCAGCTGAGCCCTACACACCCATGTGGAGATTTGATTGGCCACTGATCCAACAGAGCAGAGCTGATCCCACTTCACAGGTAAGTGAAGTGGTCGACACACTCAGCCACTTCACTCTCTATTGTTAGCTGTGGTGGAGCACCGTCGAAGACCAATCCTGGAGCAACAATTTGCATTTCGGTGGTGGAGAACACATCTCACACATTCTGAAACTGCCACTCCAAATGTGTTCAGAAGACTCTGTATCTTGTCAGCGTCCTCACCTAACACGACTGACTATGTCATCTACATATTCTAGATGTGACGAGAATTCTCGGATGATTAGATCAACGTGTGTGTAGTGAGGTGATGAGAGGGAGACCTGCATGAGGATATCTATGATGAGATTGAATGAGAAGTGGATGAGTGGGTGGATACCGTTGATGACACCAGTCGACGAGCACAGGTGTCCGGACATCTCATAGTAGGTTGTAAGACGCTGACAAGTGTCTGAGTGTAGAGCCTTGAATAGGGTGATGTGCTTAGTTGGTAGGCGTTTCAGTGAGAGACATTGGCATAAGACTTGTAGATGGAAGGAGTCGAATGCTGGCTTCAGGTAGAGAAATACAACTATGGAGTGGAGTGGAGTGATTAGATCTCCACACTGATTATTTCAGATTAATGAAGGCCTTTCTTGCTGTCTTTCTGATGCTGACTTTGACATCCTCATCTGTGCCGCTGCATCCTGTAGTTGAGACAATGAAAGAGATAACTTTCTTTAGATTTCTGCCGTTGATGTTGCTTATTGTTGTTGTTGTTGGTTGGGTATCTTCATCACCTTCAATCATCATCCAGTATTAATACCAGTCTGCCAAACCACAGTTATCTTAGATAGTCAAAAATAGCAATTTTGATGCGTACACTTCTATATAGTTGATTCAAGCAACTTCCTTTTATTTACAAAATCTTTGCGTTCTTATTTATTCATGTTTACCATTAAAATATACAATAACAGTATTATGAATGATGTATATTTGTTGTATATTACTATAGGAACTTTTGTTATGAATATTTGAAATAATGTTTGCTATGCTTAAACTTAGAATTCCTAAAGTAGTTAGATATAATTTATGAAATCTAACGGAAAATAATATAACCTAATGATAGAAGGTGAAATGGAGACCTGAGTTGCCACAAATTTCGAATCAAAAACCTTTCTATTATCTGCTCAATATTACAAAAGTTAAGCTATGAGTTGAGTTGTGAAAAATCATCATCTTCACTATCAGCATAGATTAAGGCGTGTCAGTGCTACAGTCCAAGTTCCTACACATCTAATACCAGTACATCAAGCATCAGAGTACCAAGATAAAATACGAGGAACTTGAGGAGAATCGGTCAAAGACAATTATTATTATTATTGTTTATTTGTCCCTTGGGTTTCTAGTGGAACATAGGGCTGCAGTAGCACGTCTCCATTCCACTCTCTTCTCTGCAAATCTTTTCAACCTGGCTCCACAACAGCCCACTACCTCTCATTTCCTCCTCGCACCATCTCCTCCATGTCAACCTCACCTCGGATGCCCAACTCAACGTTTCCATCTGCGTTCCACTCGAGTACCTGGTCTCGCACGTGATGTCCCAGAATGGTCTTCCCAGTGCATGCCCAATCCCATCCATCTCCACTTCCTTCCACTGCATATTTGTTGGGTGATAGGTTCTTGGTTGGTTCGTTGACAGCCAGCCACAGTGAGTTCCTTGTTGTTTATTGTTTCTGGCAATCCATCTGATCTTCATTAGGGAGTCAGCGTAGGAGGCGGTTGTTGATGTATGTCTGCAGTTGTTTGTTGGAAATGCTTTTCGTAACGCACCACCAAGTCTCTCAATCATCACATAGAAGCACTGACTTGACTGAATTGGTGTTGAAAATCCGGATGTTGTTCACGCTTTATGCTGAGTGCATTAGATCTCCACACTGGTTTCAGGTTGATGGAAGTCTGTCTTGCTTTTGTGATTCTGACTTTGACATCCTCGTCTGTGCCGCCGCCGCCGCTGCGGCGTGTATTTGAAACGATGCTCCTTTACCTAGATAGGTGAAAGGGGCAATTCCCTTCAAGTTTCTTCTGTTGATGGTGATTGGATCTTCTTACTGTTGTCGGTGATGTTGTTGGTGATGTTGTTGGTTGGGTATCTTCATCACCTCTGTCTTCTCTACATTCACTTGAAGTCCCTTCTTTCTTTTCTGCTCTGCCTCTTCTGCCAACCTGTTAGTTTTCGCCTGTAGATCTTGAAGTTTGTGTGAAATTAGACACAAGTCATCGGCGAAATCAAAATCTTCTAGGATATTTCCCCCTGTCTAGCATATGCCCATGTTCGCGCTCCTCACTGTTTGTTGCATGATCCAGTTCAATCAGAAGCAATGGAATATAGTAAAATAGAGGAAACAGGAATAAGAATCTACCCAAATTCAGAGTTATGGTTAAGATGAAGATAATGTGTGGATACACCGATACCATGGACAGTTATGTTGCCTAGAATCTCCAATAACTGACTTATATTGTCACCTAGAGCCGCAATCAAATGGTCTACGCTTCCCTACACAGCTCAGACTATCAGTCAAAAACTTCATGCATTGATATCATATGTAAGTTTGCCTGTGCTTAACCGTTTCCAGTCTTAACCTATTTCAGCTAAGCTTGTAAGATGAGGTAGATGGTGACAACTAGGCATAAATACTTTATGTCTTAGATTTTCATGACCACGCATTAATAAATGTAGTCTCAGAAATTGCGTCTTACGGATATTAGACGTCAGTTGGAAATAAGCTTTTTCTGACCTAGGTTACGTGCTTGTTAGCACATATTACAAAGATGTATCTGCAGGTATGAGCAAGCTAGTATCAACTTAAGTGGTACTACTACTACTACTACTACTACTACTACTACTACTACTACTACTACTACTACTACTACTACTACTACTACTACTACTACTACTACTACTAGTACTACTACTAACATGCTTTCTGCATAGGTTTTTTGAGGATTGATTATCTTATTTGACCGTTGTATATCGTATCAATTTATGAGTAACGAATAGCGAAAAGAAAAGTAACATCTTTTCTAATTTACCGTTCATTGATTTTAATCGGGTTGAATTCTGACTAATGATATATCAGCTGATACAATCAACAAGCCTTTTAGCTTGGATGCCATCTAAGCCTTATTGTTCGACTGGCCCATTGAATTGTTGAATGCTAGATGGTTAAAGAAAGTGAACAGAAGAAGCCTTACTCAACCTAGATTTCGTATATAGTGGCACTCATGAGTAAGACGTACCATTAACTTCAAAGGAATTAATGTCCTCTCAGAGACTCAGTGTTGACATTAGAGACATTATTAATGAGCTGCTAAGTTTACAAAAGTTAAAATTGTTTTCAAACTAATCTGGAGTCATAGCTATATGTTCCAATAGGGGGGAGAAAAAATACCAGTTATAGATTTTCTGATCGCTAGCGGTGGAATTCAAGGAGCATCGAAGCATCAGCGCAGAAAATGAGCTGCTAAAAATACAGGTCGAGTAATTCGATCAAGAATAACAACTGGATAGTACATGTAATAACAGGCAACAACTAATTTTCGTTGCACTAAAGGTTGTTCTCATGTCTCAATGTCCTAGTGATTAATGCTTTGATGTTTGGAGTGATGGGTACAGGGTTAAAGTCTTCGTGATATGAGACCGAAATGGAACAAAACCCGCATCTTGTATTTCACTGCTAGTCACGAATTAGACTATAACATATAAGTGGGTAAGCTCTCATTTCCTATAGCTGTAGTCTAGCCACTTTATTGTGAAGTATTGGTGCATTGATTATAGTGATTTTCAGCTTGACAGTGGAACGCACGCCAGCCAAAATTATGACTCAATAAACAACTCAGTCTGAACATTCCCACTGTAATCTATAAATCTTCTCCACCTGTTTTAAATAGTATTTAACAAGTGGTGAATAAATTCAACATTATCATATAAAATGAATGTATTTTTAAGATGAATGGAGATTTTAACTTGGAGATAGCACTCGTCACGGACTAATGTTAGTTGGAGAACCAATGAAAACCTGAGAGCATTGAACAGCTGCTTCATCCTAACATGGGACTCCTCAGCAGTACGCACCCACAACCCAGCTACGGATGGAACTGAGGACATGAAGGTTTGCTGATGAATGCGTTAACCATTCAGTCACTGGGTCGGTTTTCAGTGGTTCACAGTTTCCAACTTCTATCAATTCACCATATCGCACGACTATTTATCAAGGTCTTCAGTTGGCATCCACTCCCGTTCTGACTGGTTGATTCCACAGGTCACGGTTTCTCATTAGAACTTCTTGATATCCATCTGGAAGCATGTCACTAATGAACAAGCATTTGACCTGAAACCTGAGGATCTTGAGTTCAATCCGTAGCCAGATCGTGGGTGCGTACTGCTGAAGGAAGAGTCCTATACTAGGATGAAGCAGCTGTCCAATGCTTCCAGGTTTTCAATGGTTCCCCAACTAAGGTTAGTTTGTGGTGAATACTTTCTCTGTATACAAAAAGGACCTTTTTTTAAAAATATCATTGTTCTCATTTTTTTCTCTCCATTTTTATTCACATGTCTTTCGGGGAAAAATCACATTAACCATGCTCTGGGGATATATACATACTTACATATGTACAAACAAATTTGTTCAACAATGATATAACTTACATGAATGATATATTCACTAACTGACACGTTATATCAACAATTCACAGTCAGCTAAACAGTATATGGAAACACATGGAACTGGAATGGGTAAGAGCTTATTGATTATGTTAATGAGATTTATCTTCTTTCTTGTATGAATACACCCCTTCCCCCCCCCCCCAAAAAAAAGATGAAATATCTCTTGGATATTTTATTAGGCTTAAATACTGACTGACTGAATGACCGATTAATCGGCTATCTGATTACCGAATGATCATCGGTATACCAGTATGACAGAAAAAAGAAAGAGATTACTTTTCTGCTATTGACCTTTTCTCTTCACTTTTCTCAAGTATAAATAAATATATGTATAAGTAATGATCACAGGTTGATTCGACTGCTTGACTTTCTTCAGATTTAGAACACGTCTATATATATATAATTCTGAGGAAGAGGAGAAAAAAGTAAAGCATAATGGATAGGCAATTGATAATAATTTAATAATCCCTACTATTCTTTATAAATATGCTTACAACAACACTAATCGATTAGTTTTCACTCTAATTTAGTTAGTAATGTATAGCTGATTGATTTTTCACAGTGAAATAGTTATCAAAATTGTCCTTTTCTATGTGATAAGGATATTTTCAATCATTTAAATACCCGTGTTATATTGTCTGACCAGATTGAAATGTGGAATTAATCTATAAATCTTTGCCTGAGGATAATGAAGATTATCTAGTAGGGATCCATTTGATAGCTAAAATCAGTAGTTGAATACTTTGAATCAAGTACAGCGGTGTAGATGCGCCCATACACGATCTTCATATTTATTACCACATAGAAATTTGTCACTGTTTTTTCCCTTCTACCTATGGCTTATTCGTGTAGCCACTTAAATTCTGACCAGTAAATCACGGGCTAGAAACCTGCTCCGCCTTCAGAGTTCCAGATAGCTAAGTATTACCATTAGCTTGCCCATAATAGATGTGACCCATTGCCAACTGCATGAGAGTGAAAATGTGACTGCTTTTCCATTAGTTTCTTCTTATTTTCTCTGTCTTTCATGTTGATTCCTTCTACGATGATGCGTTAATATGAAATGTGAGAGGTTGAACCGTTCCACAGCACTTCGAAGCCCAGTCCTGATACTGACTTAGTGAAATGTTGTGAAGTCGGCGAACTTGAAAATAATTTATTCATTTCATTACATAATTGTCTGTTAACTACACCCTGGGTCATGTATGTGGTGTTAAGTTCACCTGTACCATCCAGCAGATTCTGAAAGACTCACTCTTCTCTCTATTATGACTTAAGTATGTTAAACACTGACCAAGAAATTGACAAGTGACTGGTTTGGCATTTCCCTGTCAATGAGTGCTTGAAAAACTGACCCATGGAAAGTATCCCCGGGGGTATAGTTCGGCTCTTTGATGTATTAATCATGGATTCACTCTGCGTAAGATGCCCGAACATAGCCACACATATAATGGAGTTCAGACATCGTTGCGTTTCTCTATATTAGGTCTGCTTTTGATTCATTGGACAGGGCTTTATTTTAAAATCATTGGCTTAAGAAGAGTGTCTCCGAGATGTTTGTTGGCATCTTGAAAGATCTATATTTCAGCCATCGCCCCGCTGTTCCAAACCAGTAGTGGGTTGTTTGATTTTTCTGTTTATGTTAAACTTTGTCATCCATAGCATTCTACAGACATCTCTGAAAGAAGCATGTGGTGGTGATGTAGAAGTGTCTTCAGGTGAAAGACCTACTGGCTTTAAATATTCAAACGCTATTGTTTTACAGGCTATACAAACTACACTCAGTCACGTGGCGATCAGTGTCTGTAAGCATACTATATGGTTCGCGCAGTCAAATTGTGAAGTGCTTCTACAATATTAGTGGAAGCATGTACCTACCTGGACTTGTCCTTGTTCGTGAACCCTTGGAAGAGTTTTTGAAACGCTTCTACATATGAAAGGACCACTGTTAGCTTTCTTTGAGTTTGGTTAGAAGAAGTGGGGACGTAATCAGCTTTTAACATGGTGTTATAGGATAGGGAATATTTGCATTGGGTTAAGATTCCATAGGAACTCATTATTCTCTGGGCAGTGTCTGAGAAGTTGTATATTTCATTAGTTTGAGACGATAGCAAACTATTGTATGGAGTCAAAACCAGCAGCGATCATTGCTGAAGCTTTCGTATTTCTTCTACCAATAAATGGTAAAGTGAACTTAGTGGCATCAATCCTTGAGATTACCTCACTAATGTTGTATCAAGTTTGTGTTTGAAATAAATACTGATAAATGAATTCAATTGTAGTTAAAGAACAGAGTTATGATGCGTTTTCACAGAAGACTTGAAAATTCCCCAGACTAATGATATAAAGATATTCAGTCAACCCTAATGAAACTACCTGCAAATTGTTAATCAGTGAAGAATTTTAAAGCTAATTGGATTGTCAGTCTCTCATTCAGAGTCTTGAACTCATCAAAAACAGAAATAGCAAAACGTTTTACAACAAGGAATTAACACTTCAATGTAGCAATGAATCTAATGAATCTAGAGGAAATTATCTGTAAAATAAATTTATAGACAAATGAGCATAATGTGTGCTCACATTGAAAAGCAAAAAGAAAATGAGTAAATATATTTAACGAAATAACAGAAGGATGTAATGATGAACCTTAGCATAATGAGAATATAGTAATAATCAAATCAGGTGAAGATATTTCAATGGTAAAACTATCCTGTTGTAACTGATAGTATGATCTAACAGCTTACGAATGATACCAGCTTAACAGATTATGAATGATACGAATCCAAATGTGAAAACGAATGAACGTCAACCGCTACAACAACAATATCACCCACGGGTGAAGACAAGTAGAAAAGGTAAACTGTTGACAGACAGCTTTCTACTGTCTCAACAACAGTCAATATCGTTGACAGGTATGCTGAATATATACATTTCAAGATGATTTTGACAACATTCAATCCATCAATGATAGTTCAGCCTTTGGAAAAAAAGGCGGAAAAACTTGGTTATATTGCGTTCTCTGAACTGGGTTGTTTAATCGTGAAGCTTACATTATCTTTCTCGACAGCGACCTGTCAGTATCTCTCCATGAGTGAATTTAGTGGCTTACTGTGACGATGTGGTCTGTGATTGGTTGTTTCCTTCGATTGTTGTGTCATTGACTGACTACAAAGATTTTCCTGTTGGATGTTCCTCTGCTTCACATCTGGCCTTTCTGTTATTTATCATCTTTCTTATTGGTTGATACAGTGGGTCTATGTCAATACATCTATTGATTGCTGATTGGTCTGAATATCAAGCTTCTAGGAATTCTCTGATATTCTTTGTATTTCCTCTCTCCATCCAGCATTTCTACATAGTCAAAATTGAACTCATCTCCATAGTTGTTATCCACATGGATTGAAATGAGTGATGAAATGTCATGTGTGACGTTTAACGGCCAACTGGCGTTCAGGTAGACGAAGGCGAAAAGGGTGACCACTTTGTCCAATATATTGTTGACTACAGTTAATAGAGTTGATTTTGTAAATGATATTCGGTTTGTTTTCTTTGGTTGTTGCATCCTTTGCTCTGGATAATAGTGTTTGGAGGAAATTTGTTGGTTTATGAGCCACATCAGTTCCATCAAGTGGTTTCAGTGATCTCGTCGTGATTTCTGATATATTCTTTATGCATTATGGTAGGATGATGCGTTTGTTGATTTGTGTCGATGACTTTGTAGTTGATGATGTATGGGATAGGCATCTTGTGGTAAAGTTTCGTGGGTAGCCGTTCTTCTTTAGGATGGACATCAAGTGATTTTCTTCGTTTCTTCGTGAAGTTGTTGTACTGAAGTGTGTTCTTGCTCTTTTGGATAGAGTCTGCATGCAACCGATGTTCTGGGTTGTTGGGTTGTTGCTACTGTAGTTGAGGATTTGATCAGTGTGTGTTGGCTTCTTTTACACTTGGGTTTCCAGCTTTCTGGCATTTGTTCTAGTGCTGATGACGTCGTCTGGAAGATGATGAAAGGTTTACGGTTAAACAACCCAGCTCAGAGAACATAATATAACAAAGGCCATCCACCTGAGCTACAAATATTCTCTATATTTTGGAAGAAAAACTAGTAGCACTGTGAAAACAGACATGTAAGTTATTTTAAGGTCAATGGCAAAACAGCATGCAACAGCTGTGCAAACTTACGGATTCATAGCATATACAAATCTGATTCTATTGAAAAAGTTAATGAATGTATCAAAAAGGGACCATATGAAGATGTTAGAGAGCCGGTGAATATCACCATGACGTTTTTACCTAGAAATGAAAGACATAATAGATCAGTAGCGTAAAATGTTGCGTGACACGAGTTCAAAGTGGTCAAAACAAATTGCATACATTTAATAGTTAGTTTATCATGGATCTTGAACGTTTGATTGTACTGTAGACATTTTTCTTTACCAATTCAAAGTTATTTTCTTCTAGCTCTTTTGAAACATATGTTGTTGCTTATTTTATCCCATTGTTGATTGGACCGAAATGATCGGTGTCTGTTGTGTATAGGCTCTTGAGTAGGTGCCTAGACATTGTCTACCATTTCAGTTTTATAGTAATGCTGGACAATGGCTAGTAGTTGTATCCAAGACGCGCGTTTCGTCCTAATCAGGAATCGTCAGCTGGATTTATCTGCTTCCCAGTAAATAATGTTGTTCCCAGTAAGACGACAAGTAATATCGAGAGATCCGCGCAGAAACCCATATTCCGATAGGCATCGACTATTTTGCTACAATCAACATAAAAACTATACCTATCACCCAAGAAGTGACTAGTGTGACTCGGTGGTCTGGCAGATGACACGCTGGCATCTGAAGCGGTCGTTTTTGGGTTCGAGTCTTAGGAGGAACAACATCACTCACTGGGGTGTATGTATATCCCCCTGATGAGTCCTAAATAGGACGAAACATGCATTCTGGATTCCACTGTTAGTCATTATCCATTATTACCATTTAAAACATAGTTTTTCTCCCTTACTTCAACATCTGCAAATTACCATAGTCTACAGATGTGAACGGAAGTACCGTTGTATAAAGTTTAACATTGTCGTATTACCTTGTCCTTAAAGTTCCCGTTATTCAGATAGTAAACTTAAGGTATATGTGCTTATGTATCTATGATGTCGTATGTAAATGGGTCATATATATGAGGACGATTATTTGATTGGACATCGTTTTTCTTTCTCAAGCAAACCACCGATACTATCGCTGTAAGTAACGTAAAATATTAAAAATTATTGGGTAGATTTATTTTTCGCCCGATTTTCTGCTTCTCATGAAAGTCAGCCTTTACTTTGCTCCACCTTCGAACCTAGTTTATTATATTAGGCAATTCAACACAACAATTTCATTTGAATACATTTTAATATTAAATATACTTTGTCAGAAAATATTCTGCAGTATCACGACAATGCATTCGAATCTATGGAGAGGCAGATAAGTCGAGTTACAGTCTAGTACAAAAGTTCACCACTTAAACTATCCACAAGCTAAAAGAAGAGATGGATAGTGAGCGAATAACAATAAATTAGGTCAAAATGTATGACAGAAGAGAAAGTAAATCGACAAACCTTAAGAGAACCGTCAAGAGGCTGCAAGATAAGACATAAGTCGCGAAAGTCCGCAACAATTGATCATTCTCACTTCAGGGAATTCAGACAAACAGTTTACGTCTCCACAAAAAGCTGAAACAATTAGTTACGAGATAATAAAACTTGAGTGCTGTTTGGCCAAGATGTATTTCATTTCACTCAATGTTCCATCTAGTCGGATCCTGGATGGAACATTAAGATGGGCCTCGCAACACTTGCAGAAGTCGAAAAAGCTGTAGGTAACTTGAAACGGCGAAGGGCAGCACGATCAGACAAAAAATCCTAAGATATACAAAGATGGTGGTACAGTACTCCTAGTCAGATTAGCAGAAGTGTTAACTGCAATATCGAAATCGAATACGATCTCCTCTAACTGGTCCAAATCACTGATTTTCCCACTCCTCAAGAAAAGCGAGAGGTCCTCCTGTGATAATCAGGGAGGAATCAGCCTGACGAACACAGTGCCCAGGACCACAGGTTCCATAATACTTCGACGCATGAGTGGAGCTAGAGAACACCAAGCCTCAGAAAACCAGATGGATCTCAGACACAGCCGACGGTATATCCACCAAATATTCACACTACCTCACACTCCAAAACACTGGCACGCTTAACAACGACCAACACTAACTTCATTTCTCAACCTGAAAGCCGTATTACATTCCTTCCATCAACAAGTCTCATGCCAATGTCTCTCACTGAAACGCCTACCAACTAAGCACATCACCCTATTCAAGGCTCTACACTCAGACACTTGTCAGCGTCTTACAACCTACTATGAGATGTCCGGACACCTGTGCTCGTCGACTGGTGTCATCAACGGTATCCACCCACTCATCCACTTCTCATTCAATCTCATCATAGATATCCTCATGCAGGTCTCCCTCTCATCACCTCACTACACACACGTTGATCTAATCATCCGAGAATTCTCGTCACATCTAGAATATGCAGATGACATAGTCAGTCGTGTTAGGTGAGGACGCTGACAAGATACAGAGTCTTCTGAACACATTTGGAGTGGCAGTTTCAGAATGTGTGAGATGTGTTCTCCACCACCGAAATGCAAATTGTTGCTCCAGGATTGGTCTTCGACGGTGCTCCACCACAGCTAACAATAGAGAGTGAAGTGGCTGAGTGTGTCGACCACTTCACTTACCTGGGAGGTGGGATCAGCTCTGCTCTGTTGGATCAGTGGCCAATCAAATCTCCACATGGGTGTGTAGGGCTCAGCTGGCTTTTGACAACTTGCATCACCTATGGCGACAGACACCATGATATCCGATTGTCTATAAAGGGTTGCGTGTACTGCACCTGCACATCAGTCTGCTCTGTTCTGTCATATGGCTGTGAAACATGGCCATTGAAGGTGGAAGACATGAGAAGGCTTCAGGTGTTTGTCCACCATTGTCCATTGTCCATCGCCTTCGTCGTATAGGCTGCCGTATTCTGTGGTGTCACGATGTGAGTAGTGTAGAAGTCAGACTGAGGTGTAGAGTGTTAGGGAGAGGGAGAAGAGGTAAGTGAGTTGATGAGGTTGTGAACCTTCATCAACTGGGATGCTCGGCTCCGACATGTGTTACACATGCCTAGTCACCGCCTGCCTCGTCAAACAATCTTCACTGAAGTAGGTGGGTTCAGGCTGGAAAACGGCTGTTGGTTCGAGGTCAGATCAAAACATGGCATCAATATATGAAGTGTTTGACTGTTGGTTTGAGCCATGTGGTGGGATGCAGACTGGGTGATTGGGGTCCGTGGGACAAGAGAAATCATTGTTTGGAGACTAACTCTATGTGATGATATGGCTGAGAACCGATGTCAGTGGTCCATATGTATGCACACATTATCCTCATCTTAACCACTATACGCTATACCGAATCTCATCACTTTCTCATTTCTCCTTTCTCTCTTCCTTTCTCTCTTTGAGTACTTTGTGTTTCTTGTGACTGCATTTTCTTATCTTTATGTTGTGCCTCAGTGCCTTTTTACTTGATGTAGTGATATGAGATGAGGTGTGGCAATTTGGACCGTTACTCAGTAATGCCTGATTTTATGTTAATTTGAGTGGGTGAATTTCATTCCCGATGTGAAACTTTGTGCTCATGTTAATCATGATATATTGGACGTATATACAGAGGGGAGAAAAGAAGCATTTGGACACATGAACTGGAACTAAATACTCTGTTGATGACAGCCTATGGTAGAAAAGCATTAAACTGTTTGAACACCGTTTATGGTGTTGAATTGGTGTGCTGTCTATTATTATTTGATAACAGCCGACTTTTTGCCTGTAACTTGCCGACTTTTCAAAATACCTGGTGCTGATGGTTATGATCTTTGAAGTAATCATGATTGACATATCAGTAAGCTACTTGGTACTTTCTAGTGGTGTACGATGCATCAATTTGTATCTACTCTAAGATTGACTGGTCACTGAAGGGGAAACCAATTTCATCGTATGTAGACCTGAGTGTTAACCAAGTCTCATCAATCATTTTGCAGTGCTATAGGTAACCAAACCAGTTCAAAGCACTATCATGGTACTCTATGAATGATGTTAGCTGGATGGAGTTAATTGGCAGGAAGCTACTCTTCATCTAAGTTTCGTAGTAATTAGCAGTCGTCAGGAGCGTGTATGTACAACATTGATGGAACTAATATCCCTTCATGCTATCATGCATGAAAGTGTATAAACTACAGGTTATATAATAACCACAATGAATAGAATTCTTTATTTTGCATTCAATTAAATACGAGAATTGTATCAGTCATCGGTATAATAGAAAAATTTTATAAATTATTATTTGTCTACAGGTGAATCAGAAACATATGCAATCTTATTTCAACATACACCATGTTATGATTTAATTCCTGACAGTGCTAAACTGCTTCTATTGGATAGTCAGTTAACTGTAAGTTTTCAGTGTTGCGTAATCATTAATATTATTTTTTTTTTATATGTTTTTACTAGGATTGCATAATATTGCCTGTCTGAATAAAAATGAATTAAAGGGTTTTAATAAAATCTTTGATTTTGGTTAGATGAAGTAATCTTTCAAAACAATAGTCTCTTCATTAGAGATGGATATTAACCAAAGAACCAATGAAAACTTCTAATAGTAATCAATTCCCTGACAATCTGATTCTGGTTAATGACTTCTTACAAGATCGATATCTCAGAGTTTAAGTCATAAGCTACGATCTTTATGATTAATTCAATCGACGGTTAAGTAGATGTTCACTAATGACAATGAATAATAAGAAAAGTAGAAAACTGTAGGGTATCGATTTTCAACTCAGTGATTGAATGTTAACGTGCAGGCCGCGAAATGTGAATATTCTGAGTCTAGTCCCGCATTAAGTCACTGATATTTACTGGTTAACCAATAAAAACAAGGATCAAACAGTTATTTGTTGATAGATGCCAATCTGTAATGAAAAGCTGATGACATTGCTGTCTAGAAAGATGATGAAAGCTTCATGATTAAACAACCCAGCTTAGAGAACATAATACAACTAAGAAAAGCCTTTTGAAAAACATTATCATTCCATAGTTTAAGAAGATTTATTATTATTATTATTAGTCCCTTGGGTTCCTAGTGGAACATAGGGCTTCAGTAGCACGCCTCCAGTGACCTCTGTTCTCTGAGATCTTTTGAACCTGGTCCCACGACAGCCCACAAGCTCTCATTTCCTCCTCGCACGACCTCCTCCATGTCACCCTCGGACGTCCAACTCGTCGCTTCCCATGGGGATTCCACTCGAGCAACTGGCCTGACGCGTGATGTCCTCAGTCGGCCTTCTCAGTGCATGGCCAATCCATCTCCACTTCTTCCTGCATATTTGTTCAGCGATAAATTCTTGGTTGGTTCGTTCCCAGAGTTCCTTGTTGCTTATAAAGCATTTAGTAAAGAATATTGATTATCGGCTAAAGTTTTGTTAAGATTGATGAGTGACAATTATTTTCTTTAATAAAAGTGTATAACTTGAACACATAAAATTTAATTTTATATTGCATATTTAACACATAGTAAGTGATACAGTATTATTTACTGGATGATGACGTTTCGAGCATAAATTATTATCACTTATAATCATATCAATGTAGTCATACTACTTCCGATACATTATTCTTATACTCCTATTGCCTAATACCCTTTGTTTCCATTGGTAGTAAAATTTTCCATATCCCTGCAATACTTGTTGGATCATTCCTATTATATGCGTTGGGTGTTAGTTGATTCGATGAACAAAGATTCAGTAATCAATCTCTCTCTTCACCTAATTATATTGGACATGAGTTATTCTTATCATCATTATTTGTTCTTTGGGTTCCTAGCGAAACACAGGGCTTCAGTAGCACGTCACTACTTCACTCTCTTCTCTATAGTCTTTTCAACCCGGCTCCACGGCTGCTCAGAAGCTTTCACTTCTTCCTCACACCATCTCCCCCTGTCACCCTCAGACACACAACTTGTCTTTTCATCACTCAAGGGCCTGGCACGTCATATTTCCAAACGATCTTCTCAGCGTAAGCCCAATCCATCTCCACTTTCTTCAGAATACTTGTTGGGGGATGGGTTGTTGGTTGGTTTGTTGACAGCCAGCCACAGTGAGTTCATTCCTGCTTATTCTCATTAGTTTGGTCATCTATCTCATCTTCAGTGTCAGTATCGAGTGAACGTGGTCAGCAGCTGTTGATGTATGTCTGCAGTTGTTTGTTGGAAATACTTTCCCTAACACACCACCAAGTCTCTCAATCATCACATAGAAGCACTGAATTGACTGATATCAGTATTGAAAATCCAGATATTGTTCACGCTTTATGCTGAGTGCAGTAGATCTCCACACTGATTATTATTTCAGATCAATGAAGGAAGGCGTGTCTTGCTGTTAATCCAATCCTGTCTTTGACATCCTCGTCTGTGCCACCGCCACCACCTGTAGTAGAAACGATGCTGCCTTGCTGAGATAATCAGGTGAATGAGACAACCTCATTCAGATTTCTCCCCTTCATGGTGATTAGTGCTTCTTGTTCGTATTGGTGTTGTTGATGTTGTTGTTGTTGGTGGTGGTGGTGGTTGGGTATCTTCATCACCATTGTCTTATCGACTTTCACCTGAAGTCCCATCATCGCTGCTCTGCCTCACCTCTCCTACCAACTTCTCAGTTCTCACCTTGACATCTTCGAGTTCGTGTGACAAGACATTAGACATAAGTCATCATCATCGTCGGTGGCGGTGGCGGCGGCGAAATCCAAATCTTCCTCTTCAGTCTTTTCATCGGTCAACACAGCGTATGCCCATCTCATCACTCCTCACAGTTGTCTGTTGCATGATCTAGTCTAGTCTAGTCCAGTCCAATCCAGTACAGTCGAGTGCAGTGTAGTCGACCACAATCAGAGAGATGATCGGTAATAGTAGGCGTCAACCTTGTCTTACTCCTCCTGTCTCCTGTCCTCACTTCAAAGGCGTCACTCAGTTTTCCATTGTCAATCACTAGACATGTAGCCTCATCATGTAGCATAGCATATAGCTGCTGTTGAATGATGTTGATGAAGGTTTGTGTCACTAGAACGGTAGTGTTGAAGCAGTTTGCGAATGACTTCTCGGTCGACGCTATCGAAGGTCTTTTCAAAGTGGGTGAAGTTGAGGTTGACTTGAGTTGACTGCCATTCTATATTCTGTTCCATGCTGATGCGTAGCGTTGCAATTTGATCCATACATTGTTTTTTTTTTCTGAAACCAGCCAGCCTATTCCGGTCGCAATTTTGAATCCAGAGCATTTTTAAGTCTCTCCAGGATGATGCTGCATAATATTTTGCTTTGTGTGAACAGCAGCATGATTCCGTGCCATTTCTTGCAAACGCTAAGGTCTCTTTTCTTTGAAATTTTGACAAGGTAGCCCTTCTTCCAATCAATCTGCATGTACCTTTCTTTCCTCCCTTCTTAACCTTATGCAACAACTATGTGAGCATATCCCTTGATGTCTCTACGTCTGTTGTCAGTGCTTCTGGAGGAATTCCATCTGGTTCTGCTGCTTTCCCGGATTTCAGCAACTTCATCACGTTCAGGACTTTGGCCTTTGTCGGGCAGCTTGTGTTTACTGGTAATTCTGTGATTGCTGGAGGTATTTCTGAACGAGTTGCAGTTGGTGGTGGTGGTCTATTCAAGAGTTTTTTGAGGCGGTCAGCCGATCGTTGACTTTGTCCCTCCTCCTCTTAGGTAACGAGATTTTCTTCACTGTATTTTATTGCTTTCATCGGTGTCAGTCTGTTCCCTCTGAGATAGTAATCCGATTATTTGATGTAATGTTGTCAGGTCTCTGTCTCTCCTACCTGCAGCCTGTCTTGCTTCAGTTGCAAGTGTGTCGTAGAAGTGTATTTTGTCTTTGAGCACTCTTCTCCACTTCTTTGTCTAGTGTAGTGCTTTATAGGTTGTGTTAAGTTCCTCTTTTCGTCGTGCATCCTTGCACTGCACTGGTTCATCTTCTGCTTCACCATCTTCCTCCTCCTGCTCTATCAGCTTGCATGTGTCCGTCGAGATCCATTTCTTGTCTTGTTTCTTCTTCCGTCCTAATACGGTTATGCAGGTTTCCTTCAGCATCTCTTTCACAGAGTTCCAGTGTTCTTCCACACAGGTTTCCTCGGGGATAATACCTAATGTCTCCCATTTTGTTTAGATGACTGGCTGACACGAAGATGTCCTTTGAAGCTTCGTCCTTCAGTTTCCGAGTGTTGTACTTGAACTGTGGTCTATCACCAGCTTGCTTGAAGACTCTCAACTTTTTGATTTTGAATGAAGGTTCCTTGCACTAGATAGTGAGTGGTGTGAACCTACATCTGCTCCTCTTCTTGATGTTGTGTCCAGTAGGCCGCGTCTCCATCTCCACTTTCTTCACATTGAGATAAAGTCGATCTGATTTTCAGTGTAGCGTGTCCATCTGGTGAAGTGAAATCCATGTTGCTTTGTGGATATCCTTGTGCTTGAAGGCACTGCCTGACTCTAATTACCAAATGGCTGAATGCACAGAATTCTGCAAACAATTCTCCATTCTCGTTCATCACCTCACCGAGTGCTTCTCGATCCATGGTTAGTTCTCTTCCTGTGTTGTCTGCTCCTAGTTTCACAATCATGTCATCCCACGCATTAGAGTCTTGATGTCGCCAACTACAGTCTTGTCCAGTACTGATTGCAGTTGTCTGTAGAATTCCTCCTTCTTCTCTTCCTCATCTGCATTATTTGTAGGTGCATAGTGTAGCATTGTATAATTGTATCTTTCCTTCCTTTTGAGTTGAATCTCAATGTCATGATCCTGATCCTGCATGATGAGTAGATTGGTTCCCACTGCATGAGAGCCTTCGATGCTATTGAGAACATTGTGACAGCCACTCCAAAACTCAGTGTGGTGTGCTTGTAGTTGTCGTCTGGGTGACAATATCGGAGTAGATTATTGACTCTCCTTTCCAGTTGACAGTTTGGAAAGTCCACTTCCATTCCACCTATTTTCGCAAATTCCAAGCACTTCGATGTGATACCTCTTCATCTTGTTTGCAATCTGGGCTGCCTTGCTGGGTTCAAATATCGTGTGGACATTCCATGTCCCCACGTTGACTTTCGCTTTCATCGAGAGTGAGAAGACGTATCGGCCTGACTAATTGGCTTCCCGAAGGCTTTCACCAACCGGCGTCATTTCGCCTCTCCGATTCCAATGAGGAATGATTTTGTTGTTATTTTTCATATTTCGTTTGTGCATTGAAGTTTCTTTAACGATTGGATTTGTTTTACGGGGCAGGGTTTTGCTAGCCCTATGCCCAAACTTCCGTGTTTATCCGGGCTTACGACCGGTTAGTAACTAGTGAACCAGTTAACTAGGCAAGGTAATAGAACTTGAGTAGAGTGGTTTTATCTCACCCACCCTATTGTTTGGTTGTGTGCAGACGCATATATTGCAACAGCTGAGTTATCTGTCAAGATTATTGATTTTATTCGGGTCTGTCATTCTATATTCTGTCAAATTCCTATGTTCCACTCTCTTAATTAACCACCAACCATTGGTTTGATCTATGTTCTTGACCACACAGTCATTAAATGCAGCCATAGCTACAAAACTGACTCGTCAGTACAGTGACCTAAACAAGAAACCGTAACACGTAAGGCAAGCGCTTATATTTAATAATTATCCTCCTCAACTTAGTAATTAATTCGTGTGAACACACAAGAAACGAAATAATAAGAATAACATGAGTACCCTATAAGGAAGATACATGAAAACTTTAGGTAGGATCCTCTACAAAGTTGGAATTAGGGTGTCATAAAACCTATAAGCTCACTCAGAGATGAGCTTTGTCAGGTGACTTCAGAATCTGATAGCACCGATAAAGCAAAAATAATCCCATGATTCCAATTCCATGCAATGAGTGTGAGGTCAAGTACATAGGTCACAAACATTTTTCTATCGCTCATTGCTACTCTCTGGGAAAACCCACTCATGATTCTTGAGAAAATTTAGCGCCATACAGAACGGTAGTGAATTATTACCATAGGCTGTCATCAACAGAGTATATAGTTCCAGTTCATGTGTCCTATTGGTTCTTTTCTCCCCTCTGTATATACGTCCAATATATCATGATTAACGGGAGCACAAAGTTTCACATCGGGAATGAAATTCATTCACTCAAATTAACATAAAATCAGGCATTACAGAGTAACGGTCCAAATTGTCACACCTCATCTCATATCAATACATCAAGTAAAAAGGCACTGAGGCACAACATAAAGATAAGAAAATGCAGTCACAAGAAACACAAAGTACTCAAAGAGAGAAAGGAAGAGAGAAAGGAGAAATGAGAAAGTGATGAGAATCGGTGTAGTGTATAGTGGTTAAGATGAGGATAATGTGTGTATACATATGGACCACTGACATCAGTTCTCAGCCATATCATCACATAGAGTTAGTCTCCAAACAATGACTTCTCTTGTCCCACAGACCCCAACCACCTAGTCTGCATCCCACCACATGACTCAAACCAACAGTCAAACACTTCATATATTGATGCCATGTTTTGATCTGACCTCGAACCAACAGCCGTTTTCCAGCCTGAACCCACCTACTTCGGTGAAGATTGTTTGACGAGGCAGACGGTGACTAGGCATGTGTAACACATGTCGGAGCCGAGCATCCCAGTTGATGAAGGTTCAAAACCTCATCAACTCACTTACCTCTTCTCCCTCTCCCTAACACTCTACACCTCAGTCTGACTTCTACACTACTCACATCGTGACACCACAGAATACGGCAGCCTATACGACGAAGGCAATGGACAATGGACAATGGTGGACAAACACCTGAAGCCTTCTCATGTCTTCCACCTTCAATGGCCATGTTTCACAGCCATATGACAGAACAGAGCAGACTGATGTGCAGGTGCAGTACACGCAACCCTTTATAGACAATCGGATATCATGGTGTCTGTCGCCATAGGTGATGCAAGTTGTCAAAAGCCAGCTGAGCCCTACACATCCATGTGGAGATTTGATTGGCCACTGATCCAACAGAGCAGAGCTGATCCCACCTCCCAGGTAAGTGAAGTGGTCGACACACTCAGCCACTTCACTCTCTATTGTTAGCTGTGGTGGAGCACCGTCGAAGACCAATCCTGGAGCAACAATTTGCATTTCGGTGGTGGAGAACACATCTCAAACATTCTGAAACTGCCACTCCAAATGTGTTCAGAAGACTCTGTATCTTGTCAGCGTCCCCACCTAACACGACTGACTATGTCATCTGCATATTCTAGATGTGACGAGAATTCTCGGATGATTAGATCAACGTGTGTGTAGTGAGGTGATGAGAGGGGACCTGCATAAGAATATCTATGATGCGATTGAATGAGAATTGGATGAGTGGGTGGATACCGTTGATGACATCAGTCGACGAGCACAGGTGTCCGGACATCTCATAGTAGGTTGTAAGACGCTGACAAGTGTCTGAGTGTAGAGCCTTGAATAGGGTGATGTGCTTAGTTGGTAGGCGTTTCAGTGAGAGACATTGGCATAAGACTTGTTGATGGAAGGAATGTAATACGGCTTTCAGGTTGAGAAATGAAGTTAGTGTTGGTCGTTGTTAAGCGTGCCAGTGTTTTGGAGTGTGAGGTAGTGTGAATATTTGGTGAATATACCGTCGGCTGTGTCTGCAACCCATCTGGTTTTCCCTGGCTTTCTGTTCTCGGTGGAGTATTGTTTGACTAGGGAGACGGTGACTAGTCATACCTATCACGTGTCTCAACCATCCCAGTCGTTGAAGTTTCATAACCGTGTCAACTTTTTGTTTTACTGTTTCACAGCCATTCTCTATAAAATACCATCAAAGTGTAGTATAGTTGGAAGCAATTTATTTATTAGTTTTTAAAAATGAAACCTACAAGAAGAAGAATATTGAAATACTTCAATTCGATATCAATTTCAAGATTCATTTTTTGTTGTTGCTTTTTAATTATCTACCAGATAGGAAAAGCATTCAAAGCGCTTATATACAATGGGATACGTGCTGCTCCTGTATGGAATTCAGAGAATCAAAATTTTATTTCAATGCTAACTGTCACTGATTTTGTACAAATATTAAATTTCTGTTGGAATCCCCCGATGACATCAGAAAAATCTTTATTAGAAGGTATGCATATCGATGATGTAGACCAGATGACTATACAAAAATGGAAAGGTAAACAAAATTTTTTCCTACGCTTTATTTTCTTAAAATACTTTTATTGTGCTTTTCATTTTATTAATCATACCTCTATAAGGATACTAGTGAGATAATATTGTTTATAGCAGGTACATCTATCTGATGAGTCTCAAAGAGGACGAAATGCGCACCTTCGATTTCACTGCTAGCCAATATCCATCATTACTATAATTAGAGCACATGTAATATCGAGACATCCACACAGAAGCCCATATGCCAATAGAGACCGATTAATTCGATCCAATCAACGACGGTGTATTACTAGCATTTATACTGGGATGATTAACTGCTGTAATTGACGAAACGAACTTGGAACGTTACAGACAAGTGGATCGGTTCACTTGCTACACTTCACGGTGGTATACAAAGAAGAGGTGGATAGAATAAGGCTGACATCGAAGTAGACAGAGTTGTGTGAGAGAAAAAACAATCTGAAGATAACGGTTAGTGTGAATATTCAAGCTTTAGAAGACGTCAGAGAGTGAATCCATCTACGCCATAGTGACCGTGACTAATTTTAAGTCATAGCACCAAGAGTCCTCAGTCACTCATTCCTTTCTTCGTGAGTACTCTAAACAGACTGTCTACATCTCCCACACATGGCTCAGGCCAACAGTTAGTGACTTCATCGACTGGTGCTACATCTTCATCTAGCCACTCTAAACCTCCTTCCATCCTAATCCAGCTGCCGTAGGATGTCACGTCGAGGTAGGCGATAATTTGACATGCGGAATATATGTCTAAACCATCTCATCTGATAAAAATTCAAAAATTTGCCTATCTTGTCTAATACTCTTTACCTGATCTCAACATTTCTAACAAGGATTAGATTTTGAAACTGGAGACATGAAACTGACGAATACATCTGTTACTCAACAAACCGACCAATGACAAATTCTAACCTTGGTGGTTAAATGACAGTGTGCTTACCTTAAAACATGAGAGTTTTAGGTTTGATCACTTGTAGAGTCAAGAGTGTGTACAGATAAGGGATCCCAAAGTGGAAGAAAACAACTGCTTAATACTAATCTCAATTCCTGATGAAAAATACTTTTCAATCAATCAACTTATACATGCCATTGAGGCGATTTCAACACTGTCTACTAGTTTAATAAGGAGAAAACAAAGAAGGCAGGTATACAATAGAATGTTCTAACTGTCTTGTCAAAGACAAAAGCTGACTTATGATATGGTCAGTAAGATAGTATCATCTGTCAGAAATTAGGCAAGATCAGGTGAACAATATCTTAAGGAATTATTCCAGGAAGCGCGTTTCGTAATAGTTGGGACTCGTCGGATGGACTTCCTGCAACTCAGTGAGTAATTTTTGTTCCCACCGTGGCTCTAACCCTTTCCTTTAAACACCAGAGCATTATTGAATAAGCCATTGCGGCACGATAGCCACCTCTTGTGCAACGCGCATCAATGGCTGTAATGATTACTAGAAGATGATTTACTTGATCAGTTTGTTTACAGTAAGTAATTTGCCCTCATCAGGTTAGCATGGATACATGAAGACATTTTTAAAAGTTTGATAAAACTATCTCATCGTTTGCACCTAATTGCATGAAATTGGGGGGAATGATTTATTCAGTGTTTACCAGTTGATTGCTTAAACTCGAGTCAAAAATTAATCATGAAAGTTACGCTTAAAATGTAAATCTGGCATAATGTTGTGTTCAATTATATAAAGACTGTGTTAGCAACAATCTAAGCGGCAAACTTAATCACTGAACTAAAGTTATGTCATTTTAATTTGATCATATAATGAATATTTTACACTAGGTGACATAGGCTGAGATCTATCGGATGGATATGAGTTATGAAATGGTGAAAAATATTTGTAGCTCGGGTAGATGGCCTTGGTTGTATTGTGTTCTCTGAACTGGGTTGTTTAATCGTGAAGCTTACATTGTCTTTCTAGACAGCGACATCATTCACAGCACTAACTTCAGTATGAAGTGACCTGTCAGTATCTCTACATGAGTGGATTTAGTGGCTTACTGTGACGATGTGATCTGTGATTGGTTGTTTCCTTCAATGGTTGTGTCACTGATTGACTATATAGATTTTCCTGTTGGATGTTCCTCTGCTTCACATCTGGCCTTTCTGTTATTTATCATCTTTCTTATTGCTTGATACAGTGGGTCTGTGTCTACACATCTAGTAATTGCTGACTGATTGAGCTGAATGACAAGCTTCTAGAAATTCTCTGATATGCCTTGTGTTTCCTCTCTACTCCCGATAATTTCTACATTGTCAAAATTGAATTCATCTTCATAGTTGTTATCCACATGCATTGAAATGAGTGATGAAATGTCATGTGTGACGTTTAACGGCCAACTGGCGTTCGGGTAGACGAAGGCGAAAAGGGTGACCACTTTGTCCAATATATTGTTGACTACAGTTAATAGAGTTGATTTTGTAAATGATATTCGGTTTGTTTTCTTTGGTTGTTGCATCCTTTGCTCTGGATAATAGTGTTTGGAGGAAATTTGTTGGTTTATGAGCCACATCAGTTCCATCAAGTGGTTTCAGTGATCTCGTCGTGATTTCTGATATATTCTTTATGCATTATGGTAGGATGATGCGTTTGTTGATTTGTGTCGATGACTTTGTAGTTGATGATGTATGGGATAGGCATCTTGTGGTAAAGTTTCGTGGGTAGCCGTTCTTCTTTAGGACAGACATCAAGTAATTTTCCTTGTAGAGGAACGAAGAAAATTACTTGATGTCCACCCTAAAGAAGAACGTCTGCTCACGAAGCTTTATCAGAAGATGCTTAACCAGTATGAAATTAGAACTACTACAGATAATAGTAGCCCAAACCCTTTTCATCATATCAATAAACTGTTTCTATGTCTAAGCGCACACATTCGTGCAGTAGGTATTAATTCATATATTTTGTATGAGGGTTAATGCTGAGACCTAGTTATTCGCACTCCACAGTAGGTGGAGCTGGTATCTAGTCTGAGATTTACTGGTTGAAAAACAACTGCCGTATATATATATATATATATATATATATATATATATATATATATATATATATATATATATATATATATATATGGTTAAATGTTCATCCTTATACATGTGTTCAAAGCCAGTTATGATGTGCAATAAATAAACGGCGACTTACTATCAGGTAACAATTCTTCTTCTTGGATAAATAAATATATATGTATAACACATGATTATCAATATTCTACGGTTCCATTTTTATGACTTGATGCACATGACTTGAAGATTCTCTGCAATATTTTGTTTCCTATACTTGGAAATTATTCTAACACTATTTTCTACCGAACATTTCCATTCTATGGACTCCTGTATATCTGATCTTACCAATTCAATAATCTTTAGTAAAATCTCTTCATAAATTCATCATCAAGTACAACAACAGATTAATTAACTTATGATATCAGTCAGATGTATTTATCGTATATACGTGACATTATCTGAGATAAGTATTGGTATGAGATGATGATTGAGAATAGACTGAGGTTCTCCATGAGAGTGGCCTATCAATGACTGGGCTGGCACTATATCAACTGAGTCAAGAGACCTAGTTACTGCCTTGCTATGACCTGTAGTACGACCTAACGGTCTATGAGCTATACCAGCGTAACAGACTACGAATGGATACGAACCCAACATGAAAGTAAATCGACTCTAACCCAAATCAGAACGTCAACCAGCACAACAATAGTACCATCGGGGCTCGGAGACGGGAAGAGAAGACAGACAATGCAGAGCTTTTACTGTCTCAACAACCTTCAATACAGGTGACTGCGATGCTGAATATATACATTTCCAGATGACCTTGACAACACTAAATCCATATGTAGGTAAAAATAGTTAAAAACCAATGATACTTCAGCTTTGAGAACAAGGGGAAGAAAAGCTAGTAAGGGTGTGAAAAAAGGCATGTAGGTTATTTTAAAGTTATGGGCAAAACACTAGGCAAAAGCTATGCAAAGTTAGGGGGTCTTATTTGCTCTGTTGTCATATGAATTGTCTGTTCGTCCATCGTTATCACATTAGCTGTCTAACCAAATCTTTCAGTTGATGAGGTCTTCCAAGGTTGGAAATCGAAAGGATACTGTTTCGAAACCTGACATGATCGAAGTTTTCATTCACAGTTCAATCATCTTCCTGGGTTTATTGTGGTATTTTTGTATGAAAATAATTAATGAATGAGAAAATTTCAATCATTCAAAAGCTATTTGAATGAACAGAGAATATTCATTTCGATAACTTTTTCTTCTCCTTATTCAAGTCTTACAGTTTTATGTATATGTTGAGGAATTATGCTTCAACAACACTGAGATTTCAATTATCAGTTGAAGAAGTTGATTTAGAAAAAAGTCTTCTACGGACGTCAATAATAGATAGAATCAATTATTACTGGAATTCGATTCAAAAGAAATGATAAACATAGGTGTAAAAGTTGGGCACTGTAGTACAATTTATTCCCATATTGGATTTATTTATTTAATTTATAACACATAGTAATGTAGTATTATTTACTGGATGACATTTCGACTATAAATTATTATCACTCATAATCATATCAATGTAGTCACACTCCACTTCCAATTTCTGATTTTTATAGTCCTATCAACTCTGATTGTTCATTTCTATTGGTAGTAAAATTCTGCATATCCCTGCCATTCATGTTGCATCATTTTTATTACATATGTTGGGTGTGGGTTGATTCGATGAACAATGATTCAGTTACCAATCTCTCTCTCTCTCTCGCTCTCTCTGTGGGTCTCCGTTTGACTGTATTGGACTTGAGTGCAGTGGTATTATGCCACCAACCCTGTTATGTGTTAATGCATGCATTGCAATAGTGGACTGTTTTTCTAAATTGTTGATCTTATTCGGGTCTGTCATTCTATATTCTGTCAAATTCCTATGTTCCACTTTCTTAATTCACCACCAACCACTAGTTTGATCTCTGTACTTGA